CCCTGGCGGTCCAGAGGCAAAGAATCTGCCTTACAATGCAGGGGACGTTGGTTTGATCCCTGGTCAGGGAAGAAAGATCCCACATGCCGCGGGGCAACTAAGCCTGCACGCCACAACTACTGAGCTCGTGCACCTCAACTAGAGAAGCGAAAACCCACACGCCACAACTAGAGAGAAGCCCAGGCACTGCAAGGAAGATCCTGCGTGCTGCAACTAAGACCCAATGCAGCCAAAAATAAAAATAAATAAATAAATCCTAAAAATAAAAGCCTGGATTAAATAGAAAAAGAGGCAAAGTGACGTAGGATGGAAGAGGAGAAAACATTTGACTGAGGTGGGGGAGGGGAAGCTGCCTGGAGGAGGCAACTCTTGTCCTGAACTGTGAGGATGATCAGTTTCCTAAATAGGTAAATAGAGTGCAGGGGGTGGAGTCGGCAGAGCAGGGAGACATTTCGAAATAGGGTGACAGCGTGGCCAAAAGCAGAGAAGCACATCTGTGCGCTGAGGTCTGAGAATTCAGAATAGTCTGCTGTAAAGAGGCCACGGTACGTGCAGAGTAATTGTGCTGAAATGTGAGCCGGAAGAGGCAGTTTGAAGACAAAGTAATTTGGGGAGAGCTTAAATGCTAAGCTACGGAAATCTGACATTCTCCTATGGGCTAGATTTTCTTTTCATGAAATGTTAAGAGTTACCATGCAAAAAGAAAATATTTGTACTCACAAACATTTGGGAAATGTTGAATTTCAAAAAAGAAAGAAATTTCAAAAGTTTCTTTATAGCTGACTTCTCAGAGTCTTTACTATGGTAACGGGCATTTCAAAGTCCCAAGAGGGACATAATATGAAGAATTTCCCAAACTTTGTGTTTTTTTTTTTTTTTTTTTCAATACACAGGCCTCTCACTGCTGTGGCCTCTCCCGTTGCGGAGCATAGGCTCCGGACGCGCAGGCCCAGCGGCCGGGGCTCACGGGCCCAGCCGCTCCACGACATGTGGGATCCTCCCAGACCGGGGCACGACCCCGTGTCCCCCGCATCAGCAGGCGGACTCTCAACCACTGCGCCACCAGGGAAGCCCCCAAACTTTGTTTTTACTGTATTTAGAGGGACTTGTGTTCCAAAGATACAGATTTTGGGAAATGCTCCTGGAGATAAGAAACAGACTGTCTAAAGAGGAGAGTGCTATGGTGGACTTGCGTTCTGAAAGGAATGCGGAGGATGAAGCAAACAAGGAAGAGGAGGAAACTAGGAGACCAGGAAAGAGGCCAGTGGAACGATCCTGATGAGAACGAGGGTCTACAGGAACAAGGGACAGTCACCGGGCTGGAACGATTGGCTTGCCCATGGATACAAACCCAGAGTGAAGAATTACAGCTGAGTGTGAATTCTCAAGGCAGAGAGTCTAGGAGAACAGGGGGACAGTGGGCCAGGACTGGGAAAACAGGGTCAGCTAGCTGGGCAGAGGAGGAAAATGGAGGTAAGGAATTCAGTCTGGGGCACTGAAGAACCCAGGTACTACACCCTTCTTCTGAGACAGGGAAGCCTTTCAGTAATGGAGACAGACGGGCTGAAGGTGAACCACCCACAGACAGAAACTGAGAGCTGCTGGTGACAAATGAAGGCGTTTTCCAGCTCCCGCCTTCCCGGCGTGCAGGAGATGCACATGCTGAGACAGTGGCGTTGATGATCAAATTAATTTTTGCACACATAATCAACTGAGAGGAAGTCCTCATGAAACCCTAATGAATTGTGTCTCTTCGGTTGCTTGCCTCTGACACCCCACTGTCAGGAAGCAGCCGTATCTCGAACCAGTCTGCCCAGCTCACGGTGGAGGGAGGGCGGGAGAATCAGAGGTGGGGCCGTGGAACTGGGAGAAAGCCAGGACCTCAGAGGGCCTGTTGGGATCAGCTGGCCCAGCCCCTCATTGATGGATTAGGGAACTCCCTTCAGGAAGCTTCATGCAATGAAAAGAGCAGTTGACTGAATCCCACCCAGTAAACCTGGAGCCTCGGCTTTCTGACATGTAAAATGAAAGCACTGTACTCAAGCTGGTTTTCCCAAATCAGTCTTTCTTCTACCACTTTTACCACCTGTGTTATTATCTAGTAAACATTTTCATTAGATATAATTTCATTTTTAGAAAGGAAACTTCAAGTTGCTAAGTAAAACAGGTACCACTGGCCATCAATGGAAAGTAACTTTAAAAAGAAAACCAATGAAAGCAAAATAATGTTATTGGAATATGTCATGTGTAGCATTTCTTAAAATTTCTTTTCACTGTGTTTGGAGGGGCCAGTGTTCCAAGAAGCAGACTTTGAGAAATGTTCTTGTAGATAACATTGATGTTTCTTTAGAGGCATTGAAGCTGAAGCCTATGCTTTCTGAAGAAGAAAGGTTGCAGGTTAAGAAACGTGTAATACACAGATGGGCGTGAAACTTTCTTCTAAAGGTACTTAGGAGGATCCAAAAAGGCAAAATTCCATTTACAACAATATGGATGGGCCTTGAGGGCATTACGCTAAGTGAGATAAGTCAAAGAGAAAGACAATACTGTATGATCTCAGTTATATGTGGAATCTAAAAAAAGAAAACAAACACAGAAACAGAGAGTAGATTGGTGGCTGCCAGGGGTAGGGAGGTGAGGAAAGTGGGTAAAGGTGGTCAAAGGGTACAAACTTCCAGTTTGAAGATGAATAAATTCTGGGGATCTAATGCATGGCATGGTGACTACAAGTACAATACTGTATTGTACACTTAAAAGTTGCTACGAAAGTAGATCTTAAAAGTTCTCACAACACACACACACACACACACACACACACACACACAAAAGGTTAACTGTGTGAGGTGATGGATGGATGTGTTCATTAACCTTATTGTGGTAATCATTTTGCAATATATACATATATCAAATTATCATGTTGCCCACCTTAAACTTACACAACGTTATATGTCAATTATATCTCAATAAACCTGAGAAAAAAAGGCAACACTCCCTCGACATTAATTCACTGTGATTTAATGCTCTACCTGGTTTCAACCTAAGATTTTTCAACCGAAGATTCTGACTCATTGACGGTCTAAAATCACCTGGACTCTCAATTAAGGAAAGACTGCAGCAGCTGATTTTGAAGAGCCCTTTCAGTTCTGACAGTCCATGTTTCTGTGCAACACACATCCATCTGGTGAGAGCTGGTTCTATTAGACTCTCACTTGGTTGATCATCCTGGAATCCTAGAAGCTAAGATTTGTAAGACAAAGAGTTCACTAGTCCTTCTCTCCTCCCCTCCTACACTACAAGCATCATAGAGCTGGAGCTGACGCCCGTGATCCTGCTACTCTGTCCCTTTAAGAGCTCATCCAGCTTCAGTTCCCCTGAGAGAGGTTGCTCTTTCTCCAAGGCAGCCACTCCAGCCTTAAAAAGTTCTTCCTCAAGTGGAACAAAAACCAGACGACAGTCAAAGGCTGATTGGGTGCACTTCAGAATTCATCTCTGTAGGCATATGCAGCTCCCAGGCCGCACACCTGGGCACTTTGGATTTGAGTACAAGTGTGTCTAACCCCGTAGCGAGCTGTTCCTGTCCTCTAATGCCCTTCAGCCTCTTCAGCTCTCGGGGGAATCTGTACACTGGATTCTAGGCTCCGACCTACCATATCCAGTGAGCCATTACCGTTCTATCCAGCTCAATTTCTTCACCTGAATAAACAGATAGGACTAGATATTTTGCTTTAATATTCCATGGTATGATAATATTAATAATAATAAAATAGGTAGCATTTGTTGAGTGTTGATTCCACGCCAGGCACTTTAGGCAGGTTAATTATCATCTCCATTTTGCAGGTCAAACAGAGAGAGAGAAAGCAGCTTACCCACAGTCGCACACCAGTAAGTGGTGGGAATGAGATCCGTATTCCTGGGATCCAGCTCCAGCACCTTCCCTCTCACTCATTTGCTACGTCTTGGGAATGTTTGTCTTCTAGTTTCTCTACTAGAGATTTTTTTAAATTGGAATTTCTGGAAAATGTGCTTTCCTAGAGAGGGACTGATCTGACCCAAAGGCTAAGTGCCACCTGCCCTCAGTGAGTGGGATGTCCAGGGAGGATGATCAGGGCCTGATACAGGCCCACCTGGTCACTTCTTTCCAGGTCACCACTCTGTCCTATTTGGTCCTTGACTGGACAGCCAGACTTGAGAGGCTCAGCCTCCCTCCCTAAGTATCCTGCCTTTGCTTTCTGAAAAAGTCCTCCTAGACATATGTTCATAAATTCCCCGATGTCTTAGTGGGACAGACTAAGGACTCGATGTCTTTGGGAAACTTTGTGATACAGTGTAAGGAGCAGAAGGCTTTAAAGGTCTAAGTTCAGCTCTCAGCTCAACCACCGACTAGCAGCATGACAAGGTAAGTCATTCAATTACATTAATCCTTCAGTTTACTATCTGCAAAGTGGGAATCATAATCCCTACCTCAACAGGACTGAGGGAGGTTTCAGTGTGATGAGAGGTATGCGAGGCAGCAAACACAACACAGGGCACGTGGGAGCGTCCACAAACGTTTGCTCCCTTCCCCTTTTATATCCTCCTGTGGTCTGTATGGAGCTCAGGGTCTGACGCATAGGGCTGCTCAAGCATTGCTGGCCAAATCCACATGGACCTTTCATCCTGGGACTCTGACTTGTAGCGTGGAGGCTCTGGGAATAACCCGTCACCTGAGTTCCTAAATGGCGTCTCCCAGATCCCCAGAAGGAGCCGTCTCCAGACACAGGACAGCAGGGAGGGACCAGGCATAACGTGATGGACATACCCTTCCCATGAGGCTGCTTCTCTGGCCAGGGAGACTAGATAGACGGCCAGTGCAGATATCACTTCTGGTTCACTTACCTGCAGCAGTTCAAATACAGCAAGGAGGTCCCCTCCAGAAAGGTTCCCACAAAAGATGGGGTGGTAACACAGCCTGGGGGGTTCATAGTGCTGGTCAGCGAGCTTCACAACAGGAGCAGCCACGGTGGCACCCAAATATTCTGGCTTCCCCTAGGGCAGAAAAGAAATGAAGTTTTGTCCCTGGTGGTCACCTACCTGGTTCTGATCTGCGTCGGTGTGATTCTGTAATTCATCTTCACAAAACTGTCAGCCTCAGTGTCTCCCTCCTGCTACGATCTCACTCTCTTCTTCTGCTAAGCCCCTCTCACCTCTTCCCACAGCCTTGGGGAGCAGCAGAATCCAGCTGGGCTCGCAGGGAAAACCCTAAGAGGGTCATCTTAGGGGCTTCCTGGCTCAAGGCGATCTTAGGGGTTATCCCTTTCCTCAGTGTATTGAGTTCAGTGGAATAAAGTAAAAATAATCACCCAGGGTAGACTTGAAGGGGAAAAGGAGAAATAAGGTGGCACCAAATATTCCAGAAGATCTCCAGAGCAGGGAACCCCTGGGGCTGGGAACACAGGTTTGGAGTCCAGGCAAACGTGAGTTGGAGTTCCCAAATCTATTGCTTTGGAGATCGATGGACTTGGGCCAGTTACTCAACCTTTTTTTTTTTTTTTTTGCGGTACGCGGGCCTTTCACTGTTGTGGCCTCTCCCCTTGCGGAGCACAAGCTCCGGACGCGCAGGCTCAGCGGCCATGGCTCACGGACCCAGCCGCTCAGCGGCATGTGGGATCTTCCCAGACCGGGGCACGAACCCATGTCCCCTGCATCGGCAGGTGGACTCTCAACCACTGCGCCACCAGGGAAGCCCTACTCAACCTTTTTTGAACCTCATGCTTTAAAAAGAGCATAGGGCCTTGTTCACAGGGCCATGACGATTAATGTAACGATGTATGTGCTTTCCACGATGACTGGTATACAATAAGTGCTCAGTCCATAGTACTGTGATGGAGATGGTGGTGATGGTGGTGATGGTGGTGATGATGGTGATGGTGACTAAGGTCAGCATGTTTAGGTAATAGAGCAATTCTGCCCTATTGTTCTCAGTAGTAAAAGAGCGTATGAGAATAGCTTCATATGTAAGCGTAGGAGGTAAGTTTCTCTAAGACCTATTTTTTTTTTTTGGCAGTACGTGGGCCCCTCACTGTTGTGGCCTCTCCCGTTGCGGAGCACAGGCTCCGGACGCGCAGGCTCAGCAGCCATGGCTCACGGGCCCAGCCGCTCCACGTCATGTGGGATCCTCCCGGACCGGGGCACGAACCCGTGTCCCCTGCATCAGCAGGCGGACTCTCAACCACTGCGCCACCAGGGAAGCCCTCTAAGAACTCTTTGATGGGGTCACCTCCTGCCTCTTCCTCATCCCTGCTCCCAGGAGCCTCAGTCCACATTCCCCCCACGAGCAGCATGGGGCTGGAGCGTGGGGCTGCTTTGCTATTTATCTCAAGAACTGCTGTATCTCCTGGCACAGGGCAGGCACTCATTACATATTTATTGAGTGAAAACTCTTGGATAAATGACCTCCAAGTCCAAGGGCAGTGCCCACATTTTCTTTGGCTGAGGCTGGGTTTTAGTACCTGCACTACTTCATTGCCTTTGGACTCACAAACAAGCATTTGCATTCCCGGCTGTAGAAGGAAGCTTGGTTGAGGTGGAAATGGGTTTAGCTCAGTCACACTTAAAAACTAACAAAGTGGGGCTTCCCTGGTGGCACAGTGGTTAAGAACCCGCCTGCCAACGCAGGGGACATGGGTTCGAGCCCTGGTCCGGGAAGATCCCACGTGCCAGGGAGCAACTAAGCCCGTGCGCCACAGCTACTGAGCCCGCGCTCTAGAGCCCGCGAGCCGTAAGTACTGAAGCCCTCGCGCCTAGAGCCCATGCTCCGCAACAAGAGAAGCCACCGCAATGAGAAGCACGTGCACCGCAATGAAGAGTAGCCCTCGCTCACCACAACTAGAGAAAGCCTGCGTGCAGCAAAGAAGACCCAATGCTGCCAAAAATTAATTAATTAATTAAATTAAAAAAAAAACCCTCCAGTAAGCTTTTGAATCTGCTGTTTCAGGACACGGACATCTTTGGAGAGAAAGAGGTTTGGCTAATATCATAACAGAAATGAGATAGAGCTGAATGCATTGTTTCAGGGCTTGGAAGCAACAAACAAAGAAGAAAAAAAAAGGCCCAGTTACAAATGCTGAATCAGTGACAATATATCCATTCCTTCCAACCAGGCGAAATCAGTAAAAACCTGCTATTTTCAAAAGGCATGGACATTTTTATAAGCATCAATAAGGTATAGAACTAGCTGGGGGCTGGGTATAATAATTATATTCCTGAAGAAGTATACGTGGACTGAACTTTTGTGAAGCAGATTCTATTTAAATTGCAATCCAAAGGGAAATCTAAGCAAAAAACCCTTTAGTAAAGCAAATGGTCATCATCCATTTCCCAGATTCTGTAGATCAGTGTTTCCCAGGTGAGGACTGCCTCTGGGCATAGTCACAGGCTGGTTAAATAAAGGAAGTTAGTTGAACAGGGAGTTTTTAGCAAGGCACAGTTAGTGCAGCCCTGGGACACTCACCACCGCGTCACTGTCATACAGCTCCACCACCACTGACGGCGGGGATCCTGCCAGTTCCTTTGGGTCTCCGTGCAGCACCAGGTCATTGAACAGCAGCATCTGGTTCCAGGTGGGGGAGAGGGTCTGGGAAATGACCTGGAAGTTGGGGCCAAAAGAAAAGCAAAACATCGCTCGACTGGGTTGGAGAGGGCTCCGTGAAGGGTAAAGAGGACACATTCTCATCACCATTGCTCACTTATTCAACATTCAAGCAACGACGGAAACTGATGTGCTACTGAGTATCAGATGCTAGGGATGCAGATTCCCTTCCCTGGAGGAGCTTATATAAGCTTCATGAGTAGAACTCCCACCTGATTACCACCCTACTTGCAAGCATAATTCCAATTCAATCCTCACAGTAGTGCTGTGATGATAACACCAGCTACCCTTTATTGAGCACGTACTGTGTACAGGCTGCGGTACTTCACATACACTGTCTTGCTGAAACTTCCCAACAATTCTGGGAGGTAGAAATGTAAACCAAGGCTCACTTGCCCAGAGCCGGCACATGGCAGAACTGGGATTCAACCCAGGTCATCTGGCACCAAAGCCCAGGCTACTACCTTCAACCATCCTCACCAAGTAGATGCTCACATTATCTCCATTTTATGAAAGGGCAAACTGAGAATGGGGAAGATCTAGCGATTCTTCACTGTGAACAAATAAAATTTCGTCATCAAATACTCGAAAGTGGATTTTCAATCTAATATTCCTTACATGCAATTCTGTTTTGTGGATATTTATTCGACTGCATTGACCTGACCAGGGTCTTCAAAATAACCTTCACCATTTTGCATGACATCATTCTTTCTTCCATAGCAAATTGTGACATTGGAAGTTGGCTGCACCCATTATGCAGATGGAGAAACCAAAGGACAAAGAAGGACCACAACCCACATGACTGGTTCAGAACCATGAGTGGCTCACCTAGGAGTGACTCAGAGCCCCCTGCCAGGCCATTCAGGTGGTACCTTCAGAAGGTAGAGTGTAATGAGCTTGCATCCTCTATTTAATTGGATGTTTGGAAACTTGCCAGTTTCATAGAGCTAAAGGCTAAGGTTGCTTGCAGGGATAGGTGCCTGTACCTAGGCAGAAACTGCCGCATTCATGTGTGAGGCCAGTCCTGGAAAGAGGCCACAGTCACAGTCTCCTGTGCAGGCAAATGGGTGATTTCTCAGGTTAACACAGACTGCACAGCTCCTGCTGGGTCCTGAGGAAATTTCCACACCACCTCTGCACTCCACTCCTACCTCTCACCATTCTCTCCAGGAGGGACTGGAGAGAGATCTGGCCTGAACTAACTACTGCTTAGATTCCAAAGCCCAAATAAAACTGTCATCTCAGAGCTTTACATCAAGAGACATTTCTAGTCATGGCATTAAATCACTTGCACTGTGGTTGCGAAAAAATATTTGTATTGCTCTTTTTTATCAGTCATAAAATATGCATTCCACAATTTCCTTCCTTCCTTGCTTTTTGCCTTTAGAGTATTTTATGCATCAGACACAGTGAGGTTTTGAACATAACGTTTCAGAGAAAATCTTAATTTTTTGGACAGGAAGAGAATGGCTTCAACCAACCTATGAACAGCAGTTAAGGCATTGCAATGCAAAGTTCCCCTGTGTCGGTGACTGACATCACAAAGAACTATGTGTTTTTATGTTGCTTTTGAAAATAGAAATGTGATCTTTTTTGCAACCTGTACCCAACAGTGTGACACCAAAGCAATTTATGATTCTCACAGCATCTTTCCTACAGAAATATTCTGATGGCTTCCTTGGCACTTTGGGCTATAACTGCCACTTGATAAGATTCCAGAGGCCAGCATTCATTCTTTCATTCATCATATATTTATTCCTTCAAAGTGCTAGGCTCAGTATTAGGCACTAACACAGCATCCTGTGCTTAGCAGGTATTCAGTAGCTACTTGCATGACTAAATGAGTGGAATTTGGCCTGTCCCATGATTAAAAGGATGATGTGGCCACCTTCGAGAAGTACTGAAACGTTCACCCAAACAAAATACATTGTCCCACTTCTCTGCCAAGGTGAGTACAGCTCACCTCATTTCCTCGGGGCTTCCTTAAGGAGTTGTGCTTTATAAACTTGTTCGGTGACATTGTTGGAGAGATTATGGTAACACTTAAATTTAACGCTTTTAAGAAGAAGTGAGATACCATGGATGGAGCGTGGCTTTAGAATCAGAGACCCCCTGTAATGGAACCCTAGTGTCACCACCTGCCTATGTCCAACTTGGGCAGGTGATTTAACCTCTCTGATCCTTAGTCTTACTCATTTCAGTGGGGTTAGTACCCACCTTGTAAAGTTGTTATGACCACTGTCTAAGATAAAGCTTTTTAAGTGCCTGGCATACAGTAGGTGCTCAGTAAGTGCTTTTTGTCCGCCCCCCTCCACCCCAGCCACACTCATTTATAAATGAGTAAATGGGCTTCCCTGGTGGCGCAGTGGTTGAGAGTCCACCTGACGATGCAGGGGACACGGGTTCATGCCCCAGTCTGGGAAGATCCCACATGCCGCGGAGCGGCTGGGCCCATGAGCCATGGCCGCTGAGCCTGCGCGTCCGGAGCCTGTGCTCCGCAACGGGAGAGGCCACAACAGTGAGAGGCCCGCGTACCACAAAAACAAAACAAAACAAAAACAAAAAATAAAATAAAAATAAAAATAAAAAATAAATGAGTAAACATTTACTGAATACCTACCACGTGCCAGCTTTGGTCACCAGGGTAACTCGTATCTAACGAGACCACTGGTGTCCTCAGGACTCAGCGTCAGTCTGACTGCTTGAAATCTCAGCTTCCATGCCCCCCACCCTCTAAGATCCCCTGTCCTTCTCTTCTAAGCCTCCCTCTTACCACATAGTCCTTCTCCCTTTCTATCCCCAAAACCTTTCTCTTTGGGAGCTGTCTCCCTTTCCCTTTATCCTATCATCACAAGATTTCCAAGTTCCACGTCCTCAGTGGCATGTGAAATAGCTGGATTCCCCTCCTGAAAGATTTCGTACCATTAAGTCACTTATAAAGGATTGGCTGCAGGACCCTCCCTTCAGAGATAGTTCTCCTTGAGCAACACGTAGTCCATTCAGAGAAGTGCTACCAGGTGTAGGGTGGACCAGCTCAGCTATGACTGCAGGGCCCCCAGGCTCAGCCTTCCCCACCTTGAAGAATGCACGAGTGGGGCATGTCACACACAGATCAGTCCCACCGAGGCAGCACACACTGAAACAGGAGAGAGAAACCAGAACCCTTTCTTACCAAAACGGAAGCAGAGTGGTTAAGCAAAATAACTTTGGAATTGGACCAACCTGGGTATCCATCTTGACTCTACCATCTTCTAAATAAAGAGTCTCCAAGCCGTACCTTCCTCGTCTGCAAAATGAGGACACTAATAATACCCACTTTGGGGTTGCAGTTAGACGTAACCAAAAATGCATATAAAATGCTTAGCATCATGCCTGTCACAGAGGGAGATTTTAAATAAATGACAGCTATCATTAGCAAAAATTAGGTACTTGTTTCAAAAGTATGGAGGCAAAGTCCAGGGTTCAACAGAACTTGTTTTCCCTTTCAAATGATTATTTGATAAACAAATGTCATCTGTTCCTTTGAGAAATGCCTCTAAATCAAATGAATATACTGTGTGGAGTTGCAAAATAGAAGGAGAACTACACAGGAGCCAAGGGAGCTCAGTCAAACCCCCTACCCCACCCAGAGCCCTGAGATCACCTCTGAGGGCTTGGAACTCCACAGCTGTGCAGGCATAGGAGGCCTCCAGGGATTCCGCCCGCCCCACCCCCTTTTTTTAATCACACTGTGTGGCATGCAGGATCTTCGTTCCTTAACCAGGGCTCAAACCTGTGCCTCCTGAACTGGAAGCTCGAGGTCTTAACCACTGGAGCGCCAGGGAAGTCCCAGGGATCCCCCTTTTGAGAATCCCCTTTGTTTTTGGTGGGAAGCCTCAATGGCAATAATAACGCAGTCACACAGGAGCTGTTATAAACAAGGCACTGTACTGGGTGTCTCACCCTCTGGGAGGCATATACAATATCACCATCCCTATTTTACAGATGAAGAAATTGAGGACAAAGAGGATTTTGCTGTCACACAGCCGATAAATGGAAGGGCTGAGAGCTGAACCCAGGCACTACGGCTCTAGAGTCTATACTCTTAACCACCGCGCTATGTACTACCTCTTAAATCACAGGGAGGAGAAAGGAGTCTGAAGTCTTCTCGTTCTCATGCTCAGTCACCTTCCGTCTGATGTCTCTCCCGACTTCCCTCCCAGGCAGAGCTAACCCCTCTCTGCCTGTGGCCCCTGGAGGTTCAGTACTATGGGGTTTATCACAGTGTGGCTGATTCGTCTGCACCGAGAACTGCCGAGCTCCACTGCATCGTGCACTGTGCAGGAGCGGAGTCTGGAAGATGGCGGCGTGGGAAGACGCGGGGTCAGCGTCTCCACACAACTAGCGCGCCTGCCGGCCGCTGGTGGGAAACTCTGACCCCCAAGGAGACAGGAGGGACCCCAGAGTGAACCGGTAGGACAGAGGGGGACCGAGGGGGGAGAAGAAGTGGAGGCCAGACAAGATCGGCGCCCCTGAGGCCGGGGAGATTAGGAGAGGCAGGTGAGAGGGAGTCTCCGGGAGGAGAGGGAGAGGAGTGGAGGGCCTGGGGAGCCTGCTGAGCTCCCAAGCTGGTTCCCCCTGCTCCAAGGCCCCTCCAGGCCGCATGGGTCCTTGGGAGCATGGGGGGGGGGGGCGATCAGGAGACACAGGCTGGAGAGGGGCCCTGGGGGGCAGCGGGAAAAGAGCGGAGGGCGATGGCCCCGCCCACTCGGGCCCAGGAAGCCTGCTGAGCTCCCAGGCCGGTCCCCTGCCCTCCAAGGTTCCCCCTTCCCCACCGGCCGTACTGGTCCTGGGGGCATATGAGGGAGGCCGGGGAGATCAGAACAGGCAGTCGGGAGGGGCCCTCCCAGACCCCAGACCGGAGGAGCAGGAGAGGAGAGGAGGGCGTTTGCCCCGCCCACTCGAGCCCAGGAAGCCTGCTGGGTCCCCAGGTGAGGTCCCCTGTCCTCTGAGGCCAG